ATTAATTTAATTTAAACTTTGTGTTTTTTTTTTGGTTAACGTGAATTGTTCAAAATTAATTAAAATTTGAAATACATATTTCCCTGTTTTGTCAAATTGTTTTTGCTGAAGCTATTTTTTGAAAAAAATTGACAAACTCGCAGTAGGTAAATTTTTTACTTAAATTTGAATTTTAACACACAATAACGCGTGGTCATCCTCAGGTGCAAATAAAAATTACATGTTTATGTTTTCTGAGGGCAAATGATTTAAAAAAAAATGAGGGGCCCCCCTAGATACACCTTTCACCGAAGATGTTACATGAAACCGGCAAAAATTTATTTTCGCATAATCACACTTGATTAAAATTCAGCCAGTTTTCGGATTTTAACTTTTTTTTAAATAATTATTGACCGCAATATTTTCTTTTCTAATTTATTATCAATAAGTTTGACATTTGTGTTGGTTTCATTTTCTCATTTTCCAGTTTTTACCAAGTGATAAAACGGAAAAATGGTTCATAATCCAAATTCATCAATAATAACGCACTGAACTGTTTCCTCTAGAAGGTCAACAAGATCGAATTATTTCATAATTTGTACGAAACAATAATAATAATAATATAGTAAATGAATTAATTTTTTTTTGAGATTTATTATTATCCCCTATTATAATAAGACTCAGAAACATGGTCATAAGCAACAAAATACCTCTCTGCTGTCCGATCTTTTAGGGCAAATCGCGTCCAATTCGTCGAAGAATATAACACAAGGGGCGGAGTTTCGGGCACGTTCGAAACAAACACGCACCGCCCTCTCGCTCTCACCTACATACTAGAAACAAAAATTAGAGTTTTTTTTTTAAATTAATAATTTTACCATATTTAAAAGTTCTGGTCCTTTGACTGAAATAAAATTAATACCGGCTTCGTTGGCCATAGCTTTGGCTATGAGTGTTTTACCACAACCTGGGGGCCCACATAGTAAAACACCAGTGGGGGTATTCAACCCCAATTCTTTGAAATGTTCAATGTGTCTTATGGGGGCTAAAATAGCCATTTGTAATTCCTCTCTGATTGAATTTAGAGACCCCACATCGTCCCAACTAACATCAGGGACTGTTGCAAAACCTTCACGTTTCGCCGAAGGTTGGACACATTTCAAAGCTTGATTAAAATCATCCATTGTGATACACAATAATGTTAAATCATCATTGGAAATCGGTGATTTGTCATGCAACCACATCATCAAGTCTTTGAGTGGATTATTTTGTTTTTCAACATCAACAGGCATTGGTTCTTCCTTGGTTCTTGGTTCTTCTTCAGTCAAAAGATGACCATTGACCACCTCAGTCTCAGTCTGTTTCACTTCTTCGTCAATTACAACAATTGGTGGTTCTTTTGGTGGTTCAGTTTTCGGTTCATCGTCAACTATAATCTCAGGATCGCTCTTATTTTCTTCTTTAACAGTTTCTTCTTTTTGTTTTTCTTCGAGTTTGTGTTGTTCTTTGAGTTTATTCAACATTCGATTGACCGCCGCCATGGCCGCCTCTCTCGTCAATGACATTAAATCAGCCCCCACATAACCCGGTGTGTGTTTCGCCAAAAATTCATAATCGAAATCTTCACTCAATTTTAATTTCGCTGTTAAAACTTTCAAAATTTGGACTCTAGCTTGAACATCGGGAATACCAAGACAGATTTCCCGGTCAAAACGACCTGCTCGTCTTAAGGCCGGGTCTATGGCATCGGGACGATTTGTAGCACCAATAACCAGGACTCTGTCACCACATTCATTCTGACTCAAGTCTGGAAAAATCAAAATAGTAAAAAAAATAGTTAAAATAGTTAAAATACCATCAAGGCAACTAAGCAATTGGGCAACAATTCGTCTCTCCATTTCTTTTTGGGCATTTTGTCGATTCGGTGTAATAGCATCGATTTCATCGATGAATAGGATACAAGGAGTGGAAAAAATAGCACGTTCAAACAATTCCCGGATTCGTTCCTCGCTTTCACCGGAAACTCCGGCGACTAATTCCGGGGCGGCGACTTTCAACAAGGGCACGCCGATTTCCTAGCGAAAAAAATCTAGTGTGAACATCACACGACTTTCCTTATCCTACTTATTTGGAAAACATCCTAATAACGACAATAATTTAGTGTATTATTTTTATTTTATCACATTTTACTGTTTAATAAGGTATATTTTACGATTCTAAATAATTTTTATTCCCATGAATTTATTGTATAATTTTACGGTCGAATGGTGCGACCGATTTTTCCAATTGTTTCGTGCTGCGTCCCCTTCCTACAAGTAACTTACATACCGGATAAGGAAAGTCATTTAAAAAAATCTATTGGCAACACTGAATTATTGGTAATTGGTAAGAATGTTTCAAGTGACGGGCAGTGTGGCCAGGTGTGGTGAAATTTCACTAGATCTAGTGATTCTTATGGTGATTTGGTGAAAACTTTTGTAAAAATTCTAATATCTGGTGTTTTTTTTTTTTTAGAAATGAAAAAACTGTTTTTCGAGAGCATTTTTTTCAAGTTTCAACCAGAAACTTGTATATTTCGTAATTATTTTTCAAAAAAGTCGAAAAACCAACAAGTTGGTTAAAAATAGTTCTGTTTGTTTTTTTTACAAGATTTTACTAAACAGGATTGAAAATGACAATTTATTTTTCGTTAAAAAGAAACCAAAAAACAAATTCGACCAAAACCGGCGTTATTTTTGCGTTTTTGCACATTTTTGATATAAAATCAAAGAGAATTCTAAAAATTTCATTGAAGTAGCCAAAAAAAAATACAAAATTAAATCAAAATTGATATTATTTTAAGCTTGTTTCAGTCGATTTACTTCGTTTTTGAACCAGACGCTCACTTATTTTGCAAAATCTTGTCCAAACACGCTCAAAAATCGCAAAAGCAATTGATATTGATGTTATTTTGTTTGTTTCACTCGATTTTTTGAGCAAAATAAGACAAAAATAAGAATGTTTTTAAGCACGTTTTTGTACTACAATCTCAGATTTTTTGTAAAATTTCCTAAAACGAACTAAAAAATCAACAAATTAAGTCGAAAATTCCATTAATCTTGCATTTTTTGGAAGTTTTAACACGTTTTTCAGATAGAAACGCAGTTATTTCCAAAAACAAACCAAAAAAAATACAGAATTAGGCCGAAAATAAAGTAATTTTTTCCATTTACGAAGATACAAACTGATTTTTAAGCTGACAAATCACAAAAAGAATAAAAATTGATGTTATTGTTTGTTTCACTCGATTTTTGAGCAAAAGAAGACAAAACAAGAGTGTTTTTAAGCACGTTTTTGTACTACAATCTGAGATTTTTTGCAAAATTTAGCTAAAACGAACTAAAAAATCAACAAATTAAGTCGAAAATTACATTTTTTGTAAGTTTTAACACGTTTTTCAGCTGGAAACGCAAAACAAGCCAAAAAAAAAACGAATTAGACCGAAAATGATATAACTTTTCCCATTTTCGAAGATTCAAATAAATTTTTAAGCTGAAAACTCTGTTTTTCCCGAGTTTGTCAAGATGTGACAAAAATTACTAAATTGTTATGAAAAAAGATTATATGATATTTTTTCTACATAAGGTGTAAAGTGGTATATAACTAAATACTATATAAATTTAACAATTATATACTTGATTTGATCTGTCAAAATTAACCTCAAAATTTTCAATAAATTCACGATTTTTTATAAAAGTTAGCTTTATCTTGATCATTTCACAGGCCTAAAAATCACAAAAAGGATAAAAAATTGATGTTATTTTGTTTGTTTCAGTCGATTTAATTGATTTCTGAGTAAAATTAAAACAAAAATGAGCCGAGAAACCACGAAGACTTTTAAGCACGTTTTTGTACTAAAATCTCATGTTTTTCGTTAAATTTCGCCAAAACAAACTAAAAAAATCAATTACGTCATTTCTCGAGTGTTTTAAAACGTAATTATTTTGCAAAATTTGGTGAAAAGCATGCCATTTTTGCGTTTAACCAGTTTTTTCGCGATAATCTGGTAAAAATTTAGAAATTTAATGTTTTTGATCTGGTAACACTGAATGACAATTGACATTTGAATTTAAAACTCAAGGTCAAGCTAAAAAATTCGTTACCCCAGCGATGGCGTTGGCGAGAAGCGTCTTGCCACACCCAGGGGGCCCATGCAGGAGGAACCCTCTCGGGGGCGAAATCCCAATCTGTCTGTAAACCTCCGGATGGCGCACATGAATCAACAACTTGCAAACATCTTCCAGGATTTTATCCATACCCCCAATGTCTTTGAAAGACACTGAAGGTTCCTGTAAAGTGGCTAGGGATTTTTTCTTTTTTGGTGTACTCTGATACGGTGTAAGTGCCACACTGTCAGATTTGCGTTTCCGTCCCATAAACTGATACCGCTCTTTACTCACATCGATTTTTTTACTATTTGTGTTGTTTTGATAAGTTGGTAGTAGTGTTTGGGGTTCTTTTTGTGACGTCGAAGGGCCATTACTCGGCTTATCATTGTAAGTTGGTGCTTCTGAATCGTCACTACTTATGTCAATTAGTTCATTTTCGTCGATTTGTTTAGGGACTTGTGGTCGGTTGTACAAGTTCACCAATTGGTTGTTTAGGGAGTTGTTGTGCTGGAAAAATGCGTTATTTTGGGGTTGGTTTCAGGGGGGGGGACTTACAAAAGTGCCCTCTTCGGGGGCACTATCATCGGAGTCGTCCTCATCCTCACTGGAACTGTTGTCTTGCTCCTCCAAGCCATAGCTTTGGAGGACTATAGAGTAGGCTTTTTTCACTTGTGTCCTAAATGCGTTGCGTTTCAAACGGGCATATTCACGGTAGCTCCGTTGCAAATCATCGGCCATAACATTGATATCAACAAAAGTTTTATCAACATTGGATTCCAAATACTGAAAATTTTGGGGTTAGGTAATTGTCAAATTGACAAGACAGCCTCCTTGATCCACTACCTTTTGTACTCTAGGAACTAAAGTAGGGTCAGACATGTAGGGCATTCTATCCATTTTTATCGAACGATTATTCCTGTGGTTTACCTCATTCAAGGGGATTATTTCAACGCCGTTCTTGTTGTTAATTTTGCCCATTATCTACTAAAAAATCACACATTCCATAACAAATATGGAATTTTTGATTATACACACAGTGTGCTATGGCTTTTTATCACACTCACACACATACACACGTTGTATACAGTTAGAAGTTAAGGCGCACTATTTTTAGGGGTCACTATGTAGTACATATAAGGGTTATTTAATTAATAATCAAAGATTATTTTTACCGCAAACACTATATTAAAAATTATACAACCACAAATTGTATAAACAGTAAAATCATTGCTATGGTCTTGTTGATTTTTGTCTAGTTGGAAGAGTGGTCGCAAGAGGCGCTGCACAGTGGCGCGAAATGTCGGTAATTTGAATTTTGTGATAAATTTTTACTTAATCGTAAAAATATTTTCACTTTTTTCTATTTAGGTGTTTGATAGTTAAAAACATAAAAACACTTAAAACAAAAAAAATATTACGTAAAATACAGAATTCGGGTCCTAGGGAAAAAATTCAAGTAAGATAAGATGCCAAGAACATGGAAAAAATCTTTAAAAAAAATTATCTGCCAAAAAATTTTGTCAATAAAAACCAAAATAACATTAAATTTAGGATACAGCTTCCTTGTTTCCTCTTCTAATAGCTAGCTTGGAGCAAAAAAACTTGAAAAATTATTTTCCCAAAAGAAATAGTCAAAGTGCAAAATTTAAACTCTCATAACTTCGAAATTTTTATAGATAGAACTTTTTTAACATTTCTTTTTGGGGCACGAGTTCTGGCGCACCCAGCTTAAAAAATAATAATTTTTGATCACCCGGTATAAACAGATTATAAGTTTTAGAATAAAAAAGTGATATTTTGAATTAAAAAAAGTTTATTTTTAATTACTTATCTATTAAGGTGTCTGATGGTTAAAAAAAAAAATAAAAAAGTTTAAAAGAGAAAAAAAAATTACGTAAAATATGCAACATATAACAAAACGTAGATTGAGATTAGAAAATTAAAAAAAAATCTGTCTTACAACATTAAAAAATTAGAAAATATTTGGAATTTTTGTTTTTGTTTTGTTTTTGAGTTCTGCCAATATTTATTTTTTTTTTAATAGTTTTTGAGAAAGGCTATGACCCTAGGATTATGTACAAGTACATTTTATTCAGTTTTATCGAGAAAAAAAATCATTTAAGTTAAAATAAAGTCGCTTAACTCAAAAACAAAATAKAATTTTATTCTCAAAACACAATTTTTTTTTATTAATTACTATTTTCTGATAACAAATAATTAAAAAATGCTTGGTTAAGTATTTTTATTATGAAATTGAGATTCCATTATTTTGGGTTTGAAGAAATTAACAAAATTATTCATAAGATTTTAACGTTTTTTTTCTTCTTAAACATTTTTAAAATGTAGAAGAACATTTCTGGTAAGTTTGATTAGAAATTTTTTGCCTTTTTGTCATTTTTTAAGTCTAGTTTTAATAATAAAAAATTGTAAATTAAAAAAAAACATTTTTTCATAAATAATTCCTTATTAATTTTATGAAATCATAGATAAAATTTTTTGTAACGCTTAGAATAAATAATTAGTCAACTGAAATGTCCTGTCCTAAATGACAAATTTAAATTAATATAAATAGTAATCATTCTTGATCACCCAGTGTAAACAGATTATAAGTTTTAGCATAAAAAACTAATATTTTGACTTGAAAAAAGTTTAATTTTAATTACTTAATCAGAAAATTTTTTTCACTTTTTTTATCTAGGTGTTTGATAGGTAAAAAATGACATTTATTTTTTGACATTTAACTTTTTTATAATTATTTAGTATCGGTACCAATAACCACAAAAAACTTTGAACAGCGTTACAATTTAGGTTATAGCTTCCTTGTTTCTTTTTCTAATAGCCTGTGCAAAAAATTCTAGAATTATTTTTCCAACAGAAATAAATAAGAGTCAAGCTGCAAAATTTAAACTGTCATAACTTAGAAATTTTTATAGAAAGAATTTTTTTTTAATTTTTTCCATGTTCCTGGTATCTTACTCACGGCATTTTTTTCTGGCGCACCCTGTATAAAAAATTATAATTTTTGATCACCCGGTATAAACAAATTATAGGTTTTAGAATAAAAAACTGATATTCTGAATTAAAAAAGTTTAAATTTAATTACTTAATCACAAAAATATTTTCGCTTTTTTCTATTAAGGTGTTTGATAATTAAAAAAAATAAATAAAAAGGTTTAAATAAAAAAAAGATTTCACGTAAATAATGCAACATATAACAAACAACACGTAGATAGACATTAGAAAAAAGAAAATTAAGATTTTTTTTTTAAAACAATCGTTTTTTTTTTGTTTTTGAGTTGTGCCAAAATTTTCCTTTTTTTAATAGCTTTTTACAAAGGCTATGATATAAGGATTGTTTTATTCAATTTTATCGAAAAAAATTCATTTGAGTTGTCATTTTGAAAATAAAATCGTTTAACTCAAAAACAAAATAAAATTTTATTCTCAAAACCCAATCACATCTTTTATAGTACTTTTTATTATTTATTATTTTTTGATAACAAATGATTTAAAAAATGCTTGGTTAAATATTTTTATTAATGAAATTCGAGATTTCCTTATTGTGGATTTGAAGAAATGAACAAAATTAATAAAAAAAAATTAAATAAGACATTTTAACGTTTTTTTAATACCTAAAAAGTTCTTTTTTTTTCTCTTAAACATTCTTAAAATGTAGAAAAACATAGAAAGGAAATTACTTTTGAAACAAACAATAAATACTTTCAATTAAAAAATATTTAATTTTCCGTATTTACAATCAACTGACGCAAAAACAAATATTTAATCAAATCAGTATTTTAATAAGTAGTGATAAGCCTCATATCTTTGACGATGACGTTTAATTTAAAGCGTCACTTAATTGCAAAACTAAATTGAATTAAACAAATCGATTTTTATAATTCTTCCCGGATCAGAGAAAATTGGAACAAATTTATTTATAAGACGATCCTCAAGCCAAAATTCCAGGAATTTCTCCGAGCTTTTCTCGGAAACATTCATTACTCTTAAATGTCAAAGTTTCTTCTTATTGCATCACAGGATAACGCACGCACGCCCCTGGAAAAATCAATGCTCCAGGCATTTATTCCGGTCGCAAAATGGCGCGTAAATGCTTGATATTACAGTCGATTCCGGTGATTACATTGTGATATAATTGAATAAATGGGTAAGTGGTCCTGAAATTCCTGAATTTATTTCCTGAATTTATTTGAAAAGCCTCCTCCACCTGTTCGACTGTCTCTACCTGACCCCTTGGTACAATAGAAAGCAGACAATACAATACCATGGGCGCCTAAACCCATGGCCACTACCTATGACGTGTACAGACTTGTTACCTGTCTTTTGCATCTCTTTCTAACTCTCATGGGGGCCCCCATTGTCTCTGTTGCGTGGTTTCCCCTTCACTCGATCGTCGAAGAGGGGATTTTATCAGAGAATCAAACGCCGTTGAAAGATAACGGGAATATTGTAGTATGTTGTATTTTTGCGATGATGGTGGTGTCCAAAATCAAGGGATGAAATATATTTAGGTGTTTTTGTGGGTCTTTGTGTCGTGGGTGGCCATTTTACCTTTTTACCTGGGTTGAATAACGTGTGAACATGCCGTGGTTTCAGTTGGGTCCATGGTCGGTGTGAGTGTAGGTGAAATTGGGAAAATTATTCGTTTTGGTGGTGATATGGGACTCGCATGGTAATATAACTCCCACCAGGTGAGTAATTAATGTTTTTCTTATTATTGATTGGTGGAGTCACTTTGTTTTCCCGGAAATTTGCGTCTGAGGGAGTCACCGGAGCATCGATCCAAACATTGGCCAAAAAATTGAATTTTTGTGAGATTTTTGATTATCTAACTTTTCCTCGAATCTGATAAAATCTTACTTAGAAGAGTGATCAAAAATTTTTGAGATAATTTTGTCGTTCACTTTTATTCGTCTTTCTCTTTATATGAACAGCTTTCTTTTCTTGCTTTCAAACTAATTTAATTTTCTTGTTTTATGTGTTCCAGAAACACAAGTGATTAATTAAGTTCCGATAATATATCATAAATATTTTTGATAAATTCTTTTGGTGGAAAACAATTAAAAATGTTCGTTGCATTTTTAAGACGCAAGTCAAATAATAAATTGATTGTGAAACCAACGATTCACATATCTTGCTATTATAATAGGAAAAAATATCTGAATTGTAGCGTTTAGAATAAAATGTGCGAAAATAAATGGTTTGTTATTTGTTATTTTTAACGGTAAAAAAACTAGGATCAAGAAACAAGTGTTTGGGCTTCTTAAGCAACCAATATCAGGTGTATTACAGGTAGTTCTACCTGATGATGATTATGTAAACAGCCGCAACACATGTCGTGCTTTTGTAAAAAAAAACTTTTTATTTATTCTACTTTACGTGATTACAAAGTTAGTTTGGTTTTTTAGAAAAATCAAAAAAAAAATTCAAATCAAACGGTATTTTGAATCGTCTTATATAAAACTGAAAAAATGTAAGTAACTGAAACAATTTTTTTTTCATTTCAAATCGGTTATTTTTTGAGAATACTTAATTTTAAAACGATATTTTTTTATATTCTAGGTTGAATATTATTTTATCTGCAAACGTCACAAAAGTGACCACTTTTATGACTAAAAGTTTTATCTTTCAACCATCGAGTAAAAATTCTACTTTTGCGCCTAAGCGTTTTTACTTTTACCATGAATTATTGACATTTACATTGGTAAATTGGTAAATGTTTTTTTAGCAATTTCTGAAGATAAGCTGTGTATCATCAGCATCTTAGATTTTTCCCTACTAACTGCACTAGTTAAATTAAGAAAAACTTTCAAAAATCTTAAGTAATTTGGAGCAAACGTTGTCAACTTTTTTTTAAATTCTTAGATGTTTTCTCTGTTTTTTTAATAAACTCAAATAATTTTGTTTTTGTGTAGAAGACTTTTTGTTGTCTTAAATCACTTTCACTCCTAATAACGTAATGTACAGTTGGAGACAAAATACTTTGGTCGTCACTTTTCTGACAGTTTAATGTAATTCAAGCTTTAACGTTAAAATAAATGTCAATTTCAAATTAATGACAGCTATTATATCTTTCTATCAAAAATATGTACAAATTGTCAACTATGATTGACAGTAGCTAAAAATAAGGTTAACAGTCCTAAAGCGTGCTTTACAATTTAATGTTACTCAAGTGACATTGACGACCAAAGGATTTTGTCTCCAGCTGTACAGTTGCGGAATTAATTTCAGACAGTACTTTTTTGTCACTTTAAAAAGCTCACTGAAACTTTTTTTTGCCCGTTATTATGCTACAAATCACTATTTTTGAAAGTAAAAGAAGTCAAAATAACATAAACATGACAAGAGTAAAAAATGAGGTTACTAACGTAAAGGTTGTTTTAGATTTTACATTATGAAAATGACAATAGTGCCCGAAATTTTAATTCCGCAACTGTACCTACTATTATTTTGAATCTTCCTGCATAAAAGTTAAAAAAAACTTATTTTAAAATAAACATAAATTTTTTCAAATTTGAAATTGAATGTTATTCTGTATAAAATTGAGAGAAAAATCTGAAATCCAAAAATTTTGAAAATAAAAAATAACGTTCTTAAATTGTGTTTTATCTTTTTCCATTTTATTACTTTTTATAGATGTTATCTGCATATTTTGTTGTGATACATTTATTCGTTAAACATTCTTGAACTTTAGAAAATCCCAAAACAAAGATTTTTTGTGTATTTATTTGACATTTAGATTTGTTGAGTTGAATTAAAATTGCTTTAAAACCGAAATAACTGTGTAATCTAACAATAAAATATAACGAAATTTGGCGACCTTGTAATTAGTTCATTGCTCGCTTTCTATAAATGAATTATTGTTTTTAAGGACAAACCACCTTATCTAAAATATTTTTGAGCATTGTTGTTCAAATAATAGCAAGATTTAAAACACTAAAAAATTGTTGTGTAATTTAATCCAACAGCTGCAAAACATGGTAAATAATTGTTGTACCAGTCTGTAATTTCACTTGCGATAAGATAACTATTGATGTTTACCTTTAAAGAAACTCCAAGACAATATATTTTAAAAGATTTGTCTTTTTTTCGCACGAATTGCATACATTTTTTTTTTCAGATAGATGATGCATACCCCTGTCGGAACCCTGGAGCGGGACCCCATCCCCCCTCCCTACTCTCCACCAATCAGCGATGATTTGAGTGTCATGTCACATGTCATACCTCGTAAAGATGAGTGCAACAATCTCACGAACAGGTTTGTTCAATTTTAGATAATCCAGTTATCGGGACAAAAAAAAATATTTTGTTCATCCAAAGTCTACTAGATTGACTTGCGCTATAAATCGAATAGCTCTTATCACAAATGACTGATAAGCCAGTCGTCGCAAATGAAGTCTTGTGAAAATGCGTAATATGAATTATCCAATCCCAGTTACACGTTTTAAGGAGATTCTTGACCAAATTTTGACCAGTCCATTGCCTGTTAAATGGGGCGATTCGGTCACCCTGCAAGAATGGTAAATTTTTCTTTATTTTGCGTTTAATACAGTTTTATCAGCCAAATCTGTGATATGCACCACTCTACAGGGTGTGTCAGATTTTGGGCCCCAGAGAAAATTTTCAAATAGGATAAGAAAAATGTCTAAAAAATTCTGTCAAAAAAATTTGACATTTGGTCAAGGAATGTGTAATTTAATTTTTTTAATTTGAGGTTATGACATGAATTTATTATTCCTATCGACGCAACAAAAACTAGATGTACCCACTGAACTAACAAAAAATAGATTTCCAGTTTATTAACAAAAAAATTATAAAAATTATTAATTTTTTTAACATTTTTTTCCATGTTCTTGGTATCTTACTTTTCCTCTGGGGTACGAGTTCTGYCGCACCCTGTATTTTGTTACATCTCGCAAAAATCTAAATTTCGTTTTATTTCAATTTGTCATAGAAAAAATATGAAGTTTTTATATTTATATATTTTTTACTCCTGATTTTAGATTTTTATGAGTTGAAGACAAAAACAAATTTTAGTAA